CAACTTAGTGAGACCCTGTCTCAAAAAATAAAAATGGCTGGGGATGTGGCTTAGTGGTTAAGTGCCCCTGGGTTCAATCCCTAGTACCAAAAAAAAAAAAAAAGAAGAAGAAGAAGAAGGAGGAGGAGGAGGAGTGAGGGGCGTAGGAGGAAAGGGAGGGAGAGGAGGAAGGGGATAATAAGAGTAAAAGGCAGGAGCCAGGTTACAGGGACCCAACTAGCACTCTCTCAGGATCTCTTTCCTGTAGAGGAGGACCAAAGTCACTCCTGCTGGATATTCCAGTACTGAGTTAGGGCCTGCTCTGCACCCACCCATCTACTCCCCCCAGTGTCCCCAGTCCTGTTTATCCTTCCGGTGAGCAAAGTCCTAATCTGCTCCACCTAGTCTCACTCTCCAGTGGACAGYAGCACCTCTGTGATCACATGAAGCTGCCTTGGGAGAACTAGAAACGACACTCTGCCACACGTGCCTGTTTGGAAGCAGTTGCTCAGGGGATGCTGAAATCATCTGTATAATGCTATGTTGTCAAGTATCGTACCCACTAACCATATGGGGCTATTTAAATACTTAAAATTAAAGGAAACCAAAAATTCAGCTCCTCAGTCAGAGGATCCGTTTTTCAATATGTAGCTGCTGAGTCCCAGAGCACAGAAAACATTTCCATCCTTGCAGAAAGTTCTCCACCATGCCGGCATGCAGCCTCTAATCTGGGCCACATAACTACACCATTGTCCACCCATCGTGGCCACAGTCATCTCCTACTTGGGCCGCAAACCGGTTCCACTGGCCATCTCCAGCATGTCGATGACTCCTCGTGGATCCTTCACAAAGCAGAGAAACTACTATCTGTATTTTCCGAGGACATCTAATTGTACTCTATATTTTAGCACAGGGTCTGGTTGGGCAAGATAAACATCGCCTCCTGATTGTAGTTTCACAAAGGATGACTAAGTTGGCCTGCATTCCCCTCTTTCCCAAGATGTTTCCACAAAACCATCAAAGGATCTATTTTCTACCACCATCCGGTAAACACCCTCGAGAGTACAGCAGCCTTAGCGAAAGAGAACTGGGAAACCGTCTCCGCGTGAAATGGTGAAASGAGGCAATTTATCGCCCACTTCCATTCTCATTCCCTCGGGAGGAAACTTGACCAGTTTGGGAGCCTGTTTTTCAGCAGGGGGAGGGGCACTAATCTGCACTGGGTAAACTCTGCTTAGCAAATGTCTGGACTAATGCCACTCTCAGTGTAGTGGGAGGAGGTAACAGGGTGGAGGGCAGGGAAGTGTCACTAACAGGGGACACTCTGCCCAGGCACCACGCTAGACGTGCAGCGTGAACTAGCTCAGTTATCATTTGATCCTCACAGAGACAGAGGTGGGGGTAGGTTTCTGAGAGGTTAGATCATCCTTCCAAGGTCACACAACCCAGGAGGGACAAGCAACTAATCGCAGCTGGTCTAGGTGCCATGCCCTTGCTCCTTTCACTCCTAAGTGGAGGACCCAGGCCTGTTCGCTGAGTGACCTCACACTCTTCAGTTGTTCCACTGAGTAATCGGTCTCTTCCTACACTCCTTCTTTCTGACTCCCTGGGTTCTTCCCCTGGGTTTGTTTTGCCAGAACTTTCTCACTGTGCCCTGGGCCTCCTCCAGCTGAGGAGAGCACTCTGTTGCACCGGTTGGTGAGATGACAACTAGCCAAAGTGCAACTTGGGGAGGAAGTAGGTGACACAAGCGAACACCTTCTGGAAGGCGGGCACCTTTGCATAGCCATTTGTCACATCCTCACAACCCTGTGAGAGAGCTTTTCATCCCTATTTCACAGATGGGCAAATTGAGCTCCAGAGAAGCTCTATGTGCACAAGACCATAAGAGAGCAGGCGGCAGAGAGGATTCCAACCCTGGGCTCCATCTCTCAGTTGAGGACTCTTATCACCATCCCTCAAGAAGCACCGGGGGGCTGGGGATGTGGCTCAAGTGGTAGCACGCTCGCCTGGCATGCGTGCGGCCCGGGTTCGATCCTCAGCATCACATACCAACAAGATGTTGTGTCCGCCGAAAACTAAAAAATAAATAAATATTAAAAAAAAAAAAAGAAGAAGAAGAAGCACCAGGGAGGGGCAAGCATCCAGTCCTGTGACATCAGGGATTTTGTGCGAATGGGGCAGTGCTGCAAGTCCTAAGGTGACCACCACAGGTCCTTGTGCTTCTCCTTCACCGGGCCTGCTCAGCCCCTCCAGCATGMCTGCCTCCTGCAGCCACACTCCAGACCTCACCAGCCCAGGGCCACCGGCCCAGGGCCTCCGTCCTCTGATCATCAGCTTCCCGAAGTCAGAAGCATTTCAATTCTAGTAACAAATCCTTGGTGCTTCAGGAAACACAAAGGAACTCATTTCTACCGTCTCTCCTAGAAAAAATCCATACACTGAGGGGAGAAAGTCCTCTTTGATGTCTGCAACGAGAGGCATAACATCTCCCAGAGCCAATATCTAATGATTCAGATCTTTTTTTTTCCTGTGAGAAAAAAGAAGCAAAACATTCTCTTTTCATAAATTCCACAACCTGATGCTCACAGTAGCTGCCATGTGAAAAGAAATTCAATTTTTTCTTTATGAAGTGATGCTGGAGGGGTCCACGTGGATTAGATGCAGGATTTTTCCTGGTGAGGAGGCTCTCTGGAGGTCTCACATCTCTGCTCCAGATGGAGTCGCCTGATCTCATTCACAGTCAACGGACTCTTTCATGCCTTCAT